TGGAATAACTGATTTATGTTATAAATTTGTCACCCGGAATTGATTTTAAATCGGACAAGTAATGTCTGGATTATGCTAAATCAGACACGTGTTGTTCGATATAGCTTTAAATCGATCATAGTATTGTACGGTTTAGAGAGATGGTGAGATTTTGAAATATGTAAATCGGTTATGGTCTTTAAATGGAGAAGTAGAAATACGATCAAAGTTTCCCGATTTGTTTATAATCCCAATGGAGTAACATGCGGTTTAGATGTAAACCGGACAAGACTTGATCGAGGTAATATTGTGTTGTTCTTATTTGTAAATCGGACAAGGGATTTTAAGTTGTCCGGATTTGTAATTCGGACAAGAGATTGTGGTGCTCGAATTTGTAAACCGGCTGTGTTGGGACTAAGTGTTGTCTGGATTAGTATATTGGTCAAGACTTGACCGGAGTTAAAGTCCGGCCAAGTCTATATTGACCAAAATTTGTTAAGTTGCCTGGTTTATATTTTGAATAAAGTATTTTAAAATAAATCATTATTATTCATTTATGATGATAAAGAATGAGAAATTTTGATGAAGATGACTTTATACTGATGATGTTCTATTAGGACATTTATGACTTCGGTCTGTTCTAATTAAAAATATTTTTATAAAGTAATTTGATGAGGAAATAAAGGTGATGTATCAAGGAGAGGTGTACCATGGGATAAGGGTGACATATCAAGGAGAGATGTACCTTTGGATATAAGGGTGGCATTTATATGTGTGACGTGTAATATAACTCTTACTATTATATCTTTTAAGATTACTGTGATTTGGAATATTTATTTCTTTGTGATTTAAAGATTTAGAATCAGGGTTCTTATTGGACATCGTAGTTGGATGTTATTGAGAAGGGGATAACAGGTTTTCACCTGAAACTTTGAATAAACCTTGTTTTAACTGAAAAGGTTTAAAAGTGGTATTATGAGAAACCTGGTTGGTACAAACCTATTTAGGTTTGGATGTGTTAATTAAGCTGAGAGATTGGCTTTGGAATTGATAAGGTATTGGTATTATGTTTTTACCTGCTCATATATTTGTTATATATATGAAAAATTGTTTTAAACAAAGTTTTGATGATATCCACCTTGCAATAACATAGAAAAAGGGATCTCACTAGACCTTCCGGTCTAACCCTCATTTTGTGATTTTAAATATGTGTTGCAGGAGGTGCGGACGGTAAGGGAAAGGTAAAATTGTGATATTTTCCTATATGCCTATCTGCATGAAGATTTGTCTATGATATATAGTTTTGATAGATGAACGTTGATTGGTACAAGAAATGTATTTTGAATTTTTAGGCCATGTATAATGTAGGGTAGATTCTTGTACTAAGGGACCTGAGTGGTGTATAAACATGTATTTCTTATGAATGAAGTATGTGTTACATGCAATGTGTGATATGGGCTGTTACAATATTAACTACCAATATTTGAGAGATGAACCTTTAATCCTTGCAAGCTTTGGGTGATTTACATTATATCGTGCAAATTTGAGCGATGACCATAAGCAATTCCACAGTTATTTTTCAACACTTTGAGCGATGAGGATTCAAGAGAAAATTCAATGGGCGATGAGAGTATGAATATCTTCCGTTGAATATTCAATGCGCGATGAAACACAACTTCAAACAGAAACTTCAAACAAATCACAAAAATTGCTCAAAAATCCAAATTTCTTGAAATGAATTGCATATAGTGAATTGCAAACAATGCAGAAACACTATTAAAGAAACTAATTAGACCAATTATGAATCAAAATGGCCCAATTTGATCAAAATGATCAAAAACAGATTACGAACCAAAATAGAATGTCGAACCAAATTTTCAAGAATTAACAATCAAAACAGTTTCAAAAACAATCCAAGATGATTCTGTTTAGCTCTGATACCAATTATTAGCCCATATTCGTTAATAACATCAATTAATCAAGATCAATAACACAGATTGAGGGATTGAATATGTCGGCATGTATATTACTTTGAATATGAGTACAAAGCGTTCTTGAATCTCTCTCAATGATCTCACGTATACAAGATATCTCTCAATGCTAAGGTAACTAACAAAACTAAGCACCCCTATTTATACTTACGAAATACAATGAACAAACTAGTTTATAAAGCATGTAAACTACAATATAAAGCATATTAAAACACTTTAAGCTCAAGGACTTGAATACAACATTTTTAAACTCAACACTTGTGCCCATTTTGGCTTCAACATTAGTAGGGACAACCACTTCTGCCTCATCAACACGTGTAGTAGAGACCTAAGATGGATAGGAGGAATCAATTGCTAAAGGTAAAGAGACATTGATCATGTACAACAGCAGGGCTATGGACAAGCCCTGAATCACACTCTCAATGATTTGAGTCACTGAGGTGATTGATGTGGAAGCACCTATTTATATGACTGCAGCTAAGGAATTTTTCGCAGAAGAGCTGGTGGAGGTTGTTGTAGGTGTCTGGGTGCTGAGGCCAAGTTCAATGACTGTAACCTGTCTAGAGGTTACACTCAGAGTTGTGGCCTTCACCCTTTTTGATTTCTTACCCTTCCTTGAATGACTAAGAGAGGCTTCAGATGATCTCTTCAGAGAAGGACGTGAAACTTGGGGTATCACTAAAGGTAAAATCAACGAATTAGTTTTAGAAAAAAAAGGTTTAGATTTGGAAGAGGAAGGAGGAAACATGCCTGAGAAGAGACCAACTTCTGTCTCCCTGACCTTGTGGTCAAGGGTTCGATGACCCAACTTGGACAGCCGTACGTCTCCTTCAGTAGGGTATTTATCCTTGAAGATCCCTACAAAGACCCCGCTGAGAAAGAGCATGTAGGAAATGACCTTTTCCCTTTGTCTTTTATTAATCTTGATGACCAGGTCATCAAAGATCAACTGAGCGTAATCTACTTTTCTTTTGTAGATCACAGAATAGGCAATGTTTAGGGCTACTTTTCTTACCTGGTCCTAGCCTCCAGTCTTTCCACCCATACTCTAGATGAAGTGAGATAAGATGTAGCTCCAGATAGTTGACATCTTGTTGTTCTCCACTTTGGATAGAGATCTGTTGAGTTCAGTGGAGCCTTTCTCCGTTGGCCAGTGGTAGTAGATGGCGTCTAAGAATTCCACTATTTCTTCAGCAGTTGGTTCAACAACGTAAGGTGTAGCTTTTGGAAACTGAGAGCTAAGCGAAGAGTCAATGGTTAAAAGTTGGCAAAGAGATCATCAATTATGAGTATTCAACTAGATCGAACCTTGAGTCTTTATGATACCGAAGACTTATATTGGATGTACCCTTTAAATATCAGAATATTCACTATACAACGATCAAATGGGATTCTTTGGGTTCCGTTTGATATCGTGCATATAAACAAGTAGAATACATGATATCAGGTTCGTTAGTTGTCATATACAACAAGAAGCCGATCATTTCCCGATAGGAAGTAATGTTCGTAGGTTTCCCAATTGGGTCATTGTTCAACGTTAAGGGAGGTACCATGGGATTCTTCATAGTTGAGCTTTGGGTTAAATCAAATTTCTTCAACATATCGTTAACATACTTATTTTGGCTAATGAATATTCCTTTTTCAGATTGCTTAATCTGAACACCAAGAAAATATGTTAGTTCACCATCATACTCATCTTATATTCTTTCTTCATGCGTTTAGAGAATCGAACACATAAAGAGGGATCCATATAAATATAATGTCATTGACATATATCGGAACAAGAATGATCTGATCTTAATTTTCCTAAAAAATAGGGTTTGATCAATCTTTCCACGTTCAAATTTATCGGTGATAAGAAATGAAGAAAAAATGCCATACCGAGCACGAGGGGAATGCTTTAACCCATAGAAAGCTTTATCCATTCGCTACACATGACCTAGATACTTGCAGTCAAGGAACCCTGGAGGTTGTTCGACATAAACTTCTTTATGTTTTCTATTTAAGAATGCACTTTTTACATCTATTTGATAGACCTTAAAGTCTTTATGAGCAACATAAACTAAAAATAGTTGAATTGCTTCAAGTTTAGCCACTGGAGCACCACCCGCCACAAATCCCACCCCTCCATAACCACTCGGGTAAGTGGTGGCAGGGGGTAGTTGTGACGACAATAGTGGCATAGTGGTTAGTAGGGGTGGGGCAAGGTGGTGCCCTCGGTATTCACCCACACCCATCTCACCACCCACATGGGTGTGTGGTGGACCCCATACCCTACCCTGACTCATCCCTCACATGTCCCCACCTCCTCCAGCCCTGTCTCCTATTGGGTGGATAGTGTCGGGGGTGGGTAGGTGTGGTTGCTATAACGATGATAGTAATGCATGGTGATCAGTGAGGCGGTGGTAAAGAGGTTTGATGGTAGGGTTGTGAGGACGACAAGAGTGACATGATGGTCAATGGGGTAGGGGTGGGTGGTGGGTTGGTAGATGTGACGACGACAATAGTGTCCTGGTGGTCGGGTGGCGGGGTGGCGATGCGAGGCGATGATGGTTGTGAGTGGGGTGAGGTGAAGGGGTGGCAATGACAGTTGTGACCAAATAGTAGTGGCATGGTGGTTAATGGTGGGTTGGGTAATGGTAGGTGACGGTTGTGATGGTGACAATAGTGTTGCGTTGATGGGAGGTGGGTGGCAGTTGTAACGACAATAATAGTGGTGTCATGGTGGGGTAGGGCGTGAATGGATGATCGGTGTTGGTCGAATTGATGCAAAAAAATGAAATTCAAAATTTTTAATCATAACAAGGAATCATGAATTAATTAATTTATGAAATTCAGTAAAATTGAAAGAGTTGTTCATAGAATTTGAAATTTGATGAAATGGATTTTCTATTCCAATTTTTTCAACATCGAGGAACCAAATACCGTTTCCAAATAGGTAATTTACTCTAAAATAATGTTTAATGAATGAACGTATCCGGTTAAAATCTTTAGGTTTTTTAGTTTGGGCCGAGAAGCGGAACGTGCAAATAAAATTGGTATCCGAGAGCGTGGAAGAACGGACGAAAGGGGAAAACTGTTGCGCTACGATTGGAATATACATCAACCTTCATCCACCGATCAACACGACAAAATTGACCAATGAAAGGCGGAGGTAGAAGGAAGAGCATCAGTTCCAACCCTCCACCCCCACCACCTCAGGTCCACAACAACCTGGTTTCCCCTGGGAACGTTGATGCAGAGTACTACAAGCGGAATGGTGAAGTACAACAGCAGCTGTTACTTCTGAATGACGGCGGAGATAAGTATGAAGATGAGGAAGAGGATGAATATGACGAGGAGTATGACGATCAGTTCGCTGACCAAGAAAATGAAGGAGGTGAAGGCGAAGGCGAAGGCGAGGGAGAGGATGGGGAAGAGCGTCCTAAGCTAGCTGAGGGTTTCTATGAGATCGAATCAGTACGAAAGAAAAGAAGTCGCAAGGTTTATTGTTGTTCTTTCTTCGTGTCTTTCCACACTATTTGTTTTCCTCTGATTTCAATCTTTCTATATGTCTGCATTTCTCTGACTTGGTGTTTTTTCTGTGTGTGAATTTACATCAATGGCTTGCTTCGTGATCATTTGCTTGGGGGAGAAAGAGTAAAGTACAGTATCTCATTAAATGGTGAGTGCTCTAACTATTTAATTTGTTATTCACAAGCACATTATAACCAGCAAACACGTGTTATGTTTTGGGATTGTTGTGAATTGGAAAATATGCAAAATGTTAGCTTAGCTTTGATCAGTGGTAGCTTTTGAGTGCATGGAATTAAGGTTGAAGCCCATTTTGAACTCCATGTTGCTCCAACTGCGATTCCTTATCCAATCCCAGGAGTTCCCCATATACATTTAGATTGTGTTTGGAAGCATGGAATAGTGGTTTGATATGTATAATGTGGTTGTGTCTCTGCCTAGTTAATGTAATTACCGAACTTCAATTCTCATTCCTAATTCATGATTCTTTATGTTGATGTCACAAGGCGCCCTTTCATGGTAATTCATTTTTTTTGGGGCATATGAATGTGGACATTTGAATTGTTAGGAATTTATTCTTGCCAAGGTGTGTTTTTTAAATCATTAAGGTACGTTCTTTAAATCATTAAGGTATGCTCATATGCTTTTGTGAAGGCGCGGATGGCCAGAGGCGGCTAATACTTGGGAACCAGTTGAGAATCTTATGTCATGCTCTGATGTCATTGATGCATTCGAAGATAGGTATTCCTTTTATAATATGGTTTTTGTGTTTAATTATATAAAGGGTTGGTTTGGGATTGCTCAAGGTAACACATGTTATAAGCACCGAATATAATATAAGTCATAACGTGGAAATTAAGGAAATTATATTTTTCACCCTCCAGCATATTTGCTCACAAGGAGAAGTACTGGCCAACATCATCTTTTTTACAGGCTATACTTGATGTTGAGAGTTTATATTACTAAACACACACATGACTTAATCTATACGCTCAACCTTAAGAATATCCCAAATAATCCGTGAATACCAAGGAAAGACATTTTGGAAAAATTATTATTTATGCTTTCTTGTTTGATGAAATTTGAAGAATGAGGTCAGGGAAACAAAGATCAAGTCGGAAACACAAACGCAAGAATGCAGTTGCTCCTCAACCACAAGCAAAGAAGAAGAAGAAGCAGCAACAACAAAGTTCTCCTGCTGCTACCTATGATGTGCCCTCTGTGAAGATCAAAATCATTGATGGACCCTTGTCGCATCCTTCTGGCAAAGATCCCACTTGTAGTAAATGGGTAGAAAACAATGTTGGTGTTGTGGGCAATGTTAAAACAACGAAACATTTGAGTGATAATGGATCTTTATTGGTCCCCCAACAAATTGGAGAAATGAATGAGACAAATGAGTTGAATGTGAAGCTTTGTGAACTTAAGGATACATCTTCAACTGATAAGGAAAACGTAAATGAGTTTGTTATACATACTGAAGAAGATCGATCAGGTGAAGGAGGAAGTCCTTCAAATGGGATCTCAAATGTGAATGGACCAAGATCTGTTTGGGCTAGTCGCAGTGTTGGAGCTAAGAGGAGAAAATCTGGTGCTGTCAAGCGGTTTAAGCAAGACATAAACCCAATTGTCACTAATGAGGCACATGATGGAATAGAAAGAATAACCAACGTTAATGGTGTAGTTGTAGAGCATGGGACTGAAAACTTTGACCAAGTGGGCAACTGTTTTGGTTCAATGAACATGGTAGATACTTCGAGAAGCATGTATGGCATTACCAAGATCATCAAGCCCGTTGAATATTCCATATCCACACTTAATGATACGCAAGACATCTTGGTGACCTTTTCGGTCTTGAGGTTTGTGCATCTCTCTCTCTCTTCATTTTGTATACGACTTCTCACTTATTACTTGTTCTCTATATCATTAGTTAAAAAATCAGTATAGTTTCAATGCATTTGGCAACATATGGATTAACTATAAGGAACTAGAAGTGTTACGATTATAAGGAACACTTTTGTCTGTTCGTCTGTTTGTATATTGTTGCTTACTTCTAGCTCGTTCTCCAAAATTTAAGCACTTTCCTATATTGTTCTCGAGTTCTTTTTTTGAATTTTCTGATTATTTACCCTATTTTTATTTTATTCTTTTTATCATATATCATCAAGGTTTTAAAAAGCATGATCGAACCTCAAAGCGTTTTCCCTCGAAGAGGCGAGGCGTAAGCCCCGAGGCAGAAATATATATATATATATATATATATACACACACACACGCATATATGTACCAACATTGTTTTAAAAAGCGCTAGAGGGTAGGCGTCCAAATTTCGTGTATGAGGCGGCGTTTCCTTCTCCTAAGATGGGTGTACCCTTTAAATGTGTAAGGTTGTGGTGCACTGAAGTCAAACATCAAGAAAGCTATTTCTAAGGGCTTTATTCTCCCTCTCTCATACAATCACGAACATACATTTTATATAATGGTTTTTTTCTTCCTTCATTCGGTGTTGGAACCCAAAAGTTATGATTTTTTTTCTTGTCCCACTCAATGTTGGAATCCAGCTGTGCATTTAGACTTGTAACATACATTGATACATTTATTTTTGTTAATATTATCATATATATAATATAATATACTAAAAAACATGTATTAGTATATATATATAAATATATATTCATGAGGTGAGTATACTTTATATNTGGATGGATGAGATTGGTTTGTAAGATTTTCACAAATGAGAATGGTTTGCAATTGATTCCTCTTATATATATATGTATGTATATATAAATATATTTCTTTCTTAGTATATTATATATGTATAATTATATATATTATTAACGCCAATATATGTACTACACAAATACACAATATATATATATACACACCAATATGCTTTCCATTGCCACATTATGCATAGAAAATATATTAGCAACATATATACACGCACATATATCGGATAATCGGAGTACTAGACATAAAATAATATATCATACTAAATTACTAAAGAAATCTGCATACACTTTTTTCAATCATGAAATATGTGTATAGTAACAAACAGGAAAATATATTGATCTATTAGTTAAATTTATGTATATATATGTATATTATATCCACAAAGTGGGAGAGGAAGTGGGACAGTGACACGTGTAAGATTTGAAGGGACCTTTAGAGACTAAATATAAAAGAAGTGTAGACATGTACGTGATGTCTAGTGAACTAGAGAGGAATCGAAGAAGAAAACGCAAAGAAGAAAACGAGAGAAGATGGGAACTAAAGAAGGACAACGTAACGAGTAGCAGGTAGGGCTTACGAGAACAAGAGAAGAACTCGCAAAGGTTTTGAGAGAAGAACTTGCAAAGGTTTTGCAAGAAGAACTCGCAAAGTTTTTGGAAAAAGATCTCGAGAAGGTTTTAGTCATATTTTAATATTTAGCCTTTGGAGAGGAGCGTGCCCCTCTCCACCGCCCTTCTACCACCAAGGCCTACGTCTCGTTTGGGGCTTGTGCCTTAATCGTGATTTTGCAGGAGGAATTTCAGAAAACCGAGAAAACAAATTGTATAAGCATGGATAAAACCGTGAGATAGTGTATGAGATTGCTTTCCTTAAGTTGTATTTCAACCCTAATTTGCCTAGGTGTCATGTAATCAACTCGAGGATAATCTCAGGTTTTTAGTAACGATTTTGGTAGAAATCTTTTCCTTTTAAACTTAGAGAATAACCGTTCATAAATTAATGCCTGAGAATATCTCCCCGCAAAATGGAAATAATTGTTGTAATTTGTGGGCAGTTACCAAAATGGCATACAAATCATAACGCTTCAGAGCTTTTCTGACTCTTCCAAGTCATAAGCCCTTCAAAATTAGACCTACTAGGGTGCATTTGGTACAAGGGACAAAACAAAACAGGGATTACTGCTCCATGTTTGGCAGGACCCTTATGTGGAAGGACTTTTATGTGAACACACAGCTTGGTTTAAAAATGCGGGCATAATGCGCTCCGATGTGCTGGAGGTAACGCATCAGAGGGTCGATGCGAAGCGATTCCATGATGCTCTCTAATGCGGTCGCATCACCTATGCATCACACGATGCGTGCATCAACACATCCTGTATGTTTCATGTTTGGGCTCCTTTTTCATTCTTTACAGGTTTTTAGTTGGGCTTTTTGTAGATTAAAATAGAACGTAATAATGACCTAATAAAATAGAAGCCTCTCTCAAGTCTCAAGTCGCATATTAGATTAAGAACATATACGTGAGTGGTGACCTAATAGAATAGAAGCAAAAGTCGCAACCTAAACTAGAAGAAGCAGTCGACAGCCAAAAATAGAAGATCGCATATCAGAAGACAGATGAAAGTAATGAGTGGTTGATGGGGAGGATGGGCAATGATGATGAAGATGATGATTTGGTGTTTATTGATGATGATCTTACGTGGGATAACGTAGGTAGAGCTTCCGGGGCGTATGAGACTCCTCATTTCATTAGAGCATCAAGAGGGAGAGTCAATGATGATGGGTCGGGTCCATCAAGAACTAGAAATGCTAGAGGAAAAGGACATGCTCTTCAGGATGAAGATGATGAAGCTGAGGTGGAAACAGATATTGGAGGGTTTGATAATGATGAGGGAGATGAACCCGTGTTGGGGTTTGATGATCCTGATCTTGGGGAGTATTAGTTGGTCACTTGGTCATTTAGTTTAGGGATTGGGGACTATTATACATTTACTTGTGTTCTTCATGGTAGTAGTTTGTGTGTTTTGTTATTTCGATTCACAAACTTTTAAGATTCTAATACCACCTTTTGAACTACTTTATGTTAAAAGTGAAATATTTTGATAGGTACGTATTTTTAAGGTACAAATTGATATGTAGAATTAATTTATAAGTATTTTTTGAATACCGGGTGCATCACGTGCATGATATGAGCGCATCCGCATCAAGCATCGGCTTCCGGGACCTTTACCGCCTTGGACTGCATTGCGCTTTTTAGGACCAAGACAGACAGGAACAAAATGAAGCAAAATGGAAAAGGCGCGTTCCACCTTCCACCCCTACCATATGGAACAAGGTGGAACATACTTATATTTTTACCAACATAACCTCAAAATAAAAACCCAATTCTCTTCTAAAACAACAAAGACTCCCCTTCTTTACGTTTTGTTTATTCTTTAAATTTTATTTATGGTATTTTATGGGGTTCCGTCCTCTTTTACCAAAAAAATTAAATAAATTTTATTTATGGTATTTTACGTTTTTTAAACTTTCACTTTATTGTTCTCAAAATATTATTTTTGTTTGGTTCTATATTTTGGTTAATTTATTAAATATTAATAGTAAAAAATAATATAGAAAAAGTATAACATACAAATTGGAAGCTACATAAACTTTTTATTTTTGTGTCATTTTAATCGTTTTGATTAAAACTTTCTAATTATATATTTTGTTACAAAAATATTTAGTTAATTAAAATTTAATAAATTAATCAAAATATATAAAAGATATAAACAAGTCATCACGGGTGAATTGGGTAAAAAAAATTATTTTGTCTTGTACAGTTTTATCATACCAAACGTTGAACAATTGTTCTATCCTGTCCTCTTATGTGTTCTTTTGTCCTGCCTGTCTCGATATTAAACACACCCTTAGAGTCCGAAGCTCCGAGTGAACACCACTTCAGAATTAGAAGCTTCTGAACAAGACTTGAAGGCTTCTAAATTTCACTTGGAACATTTAGAAAGTCATTTTTCCCAAGCACTCCCTTCATTATAGTGGCACCATCGCCAGGTTCGCTGCCCCTTGGACCCCACAAGGGGGCGCGACCCCCTTGACGCTCGCCAGATGGCGCCATCCAGCCATCGAGGGGTGGTACTAGAATTATGCCATTGATTTGTACCAAGTGTTGGCCGGAGGTTTTTACAGATAGAAACAACCGCTCTACTTCTAGGGATAGGGTCAAGTTTGCATACATCCCACCGTCACCCCACCTGTGGATGGGTATACTAGGCTCGTTTAATTTGGTTTTAGTTTATTTTCCTTACCACCTGTTGTTCATATAGATAAATGTTTGGAACATCTCTAGCTGTGTTTTTTAGAATAAAATAAGCTCCAGAATTGTTATCCGTGATCTTCTATGTTAGGAAACCAATGTGATTGAAGGGTCAATGTTTTTGGTTGAAAAGTAGTTTTGTTGTATTTTTTACTGTTGTGCCATGTCTTCATATTCCACTTAAAACGTGATCCTCACATTTTTTTTTTACTCTAAGTGGATAACTATAAAGTCTAGTTCAATAAATATATAAAATTTCTTCCAAATATTATGCCTCCATATTTTTAGAAAAGGATTTACATCCTTTGTGGTTACATCCTTTTCTGTTCATATTTTTTCAACATATAAAGTGAAGGTGTTTTAGGCATCACATAGACCTGTTTATATTATATTGTTTAACCTGTCCATTCTTTATTACTTTCCATCGTATATTATACTTTTTTTCTTTCCCATTTCCTTTTTAATCCAATTCTTTCATCCTAAAACTGTTTCTACCGGCTTTCTATGCTATCTTCATATCATTTAGATTGACACACAAAATTTTATTTCCTTTCGTACATTTTTTCATTGGATTACTCAGTGGTACCAGACTTTTATGGTGGACCTCCTTGGCCTAAGAGGAATCCTATTCAGGAGCGAATGAGCATCTACTTTAGTAACTTATAGTGCAAAAATTTAGAGAATCAACTCACCAAAGTGTCAATCCTAATATTTTATGCAGGCAATGTGCATTTGTATTTCTCAGTTTTCTGTTCGTATCATTCAACCACAAGGAATGCTATTTGCATTTATAATTTTCAATCAACTTTAATTGGTTAGAGCTTGCGACAGTTTTACTAGTTGAAATCATTTATGTGTTCTGGGCTAAATTGATGGTTTTAATTGCTGAACACTTTCATACTATTTAGTTGCCGCTTGTTTGAACCGTACAAACAAAAAGCCATTTGGTGCAAAATACAAAATTTGATGGTAGGATGATTCCTTATCCTACACTATCTCAATGCCCATTGTCATGTTTCTGATTAAGTTTTTGAGTTCCTCGTTAGGCTGAACAATTTGTTTCATGAGATTAAGAAAAAGAACTCTCTTTATAAATTCTTCTAATTTTTCTGTATACTAAATTACTAATCTTTTTCTATTTCTTTTTCTCTGTTAGAAAAGAGTTTTCTTTTAACTTATTGTCAATTTAATGGCACTATTGGCATGATGCCTTTTTATAATTCGTTTGACATATATTAACAACTTGTCCAAGCTTATCTTTATACAAATAACAAAGTAACTGAAACAACTATTATATGATAGCTAGGAAACAACATTGCCTCTATGCCTAATCTACATATTGAGTGATTTTAGAGTGTGTCAAGATGACGTGGCTTTGACCATATCCATAAATTATTGACCACAAATTGCACGAGGGGGATATGTACTTTTGGTCCAAAAGTGGATGGAAATTTATGATTTGCTGAATTAGATAGAAAGGGTAAAGTTACAAATAAACTTAAGTTGATTCATGCATCTTCATCATATTTATAGACATTCACTTTATTCTCAGGAAGGGTTATTTTGGTTCACTTGTTAGGTTGTTTAGTTGTTTCGTATTTCCCCTATTGCTTTTAATGCCCCGATTTGTTTTAATCTTATTTCATGTTGTTTACTAGTGCGTTCTTCTATTTCTAACTTCGTCTCAAAGCTGTTCATCAACTCTTCAAAACTTCTTTTGTTGCATTTGTTATTCTTACCCTTTGCAAACGTTTTCGCAAGCTAGAGATCTTCATTGAAACAGCCACTTTACTTCTTGGGGTGTAGTAATGGCTGCATGCATCTTACCTTCCCCAGAGCCTACTTCATGTCGAATTTACTAGTTCGTTTGGTTTGATTTTGCTTACCATTTGGTTTGGTTGGTTTGGTTTGTTTTGGTTTTGCTTATTCACTTTCTTCACAAGAATGTGAGAGTCACTCTAGTGTCCAGAAAATGGTACAATGCTATGCAGGAGGGGATGAACGTTCTATGTAAAAACTAATACACGGGTTTTTGAATGTCTTTATGATTGGGTGTGCTTAGTATGATGTCTTACTATGAAACTGCATCCTCATGGCTTTCCTCATATAAAAGGCAATGTGTAACAAAGGTACTCTCAAGCCTATGATATTATTGGTTATGCGCGTGCATAGTTCCTTGTTACAAAAAGTGGTTATGAATGTTCTACGCAACAACCATCCTATCCACATCTAGCTTCATCGGTCATGAGGGTTGGCCAAAGTCTGTTTTTTTGCAGTAGTCTTCTTGGGTGTGTTTTGAATGATTCTTCTAGGTTCTCGAGCAGTTTGACTTGTCTAAAGTGTCAATAATTATTCAATTATCTAACTTCCAATAGTTTATGATTATATATATTGGTCTAATATTGTGCCTACAAGTGATGAGCATCAAGGTATTGTTGATGAGTTTCAGCATAAGTTCTTGATGTTGGATGACTCTTACCTTCTTGATAAAGGTATCATGATTGCATTATGAGATCTTACATCACAAAAAGTATGTTTTGGATGTTCTATCAGAGCATGAACGTCTATTTGGTGGTCAACTGTAGATTCATTCATGACGTGGCATGTAGAACTATTGCCCAAGCATGGGAAATGCATGGGAAATCACTGAATGATTAGGAAAAATTTAAAAACTCTGCTATCTGATAATGGCACGTATAGATATTGCCTATTCGCATGTCAAAGGCTCCTTATAGAGAGGTGCCCATTCAAATAAAGAACATTATATGGTACAAAGTGAAGTTCAGATTGACAAGATGAACTTGTAGGTCATAAATAATATGAAAGATAACTAGGAAAATGCTACCATATATACAAATATATATATATATATATATATATATATATATATATATATATAAATCATGTTACAACCCATATCGGTTTTGTACATGTGAGAATATATAGCAATGGGGCAGGTAGATCAGTTAACAAGGCATATACTAAAGTAAAGGGGTGGATAAATGATATTCCCCACTTGTTAGTAGAATCATGTTATAGCTGGAAGAAGACGCTGGATATTGGTAGATAAATCATAAATTAAATTGTTTTATTGCTACTTGTTTCGAACTATTTGAACAATTATTATTTGAGGTCAAGACACAAGCTTTTCTATGGCAATGCTCACAATGTATATTAAAGGGTTTAAACCTAGGTCACACAGATCTTGTTTAGAAAGCCTAGAATAAACGTGTGAAACATAAATTCACGAAATATGGCTTAGGTAGGTTATTTATCATGATGACAAACATTTCAAACAAACAAAAAGCACCCATCAAGAAATATCCAACAAGAAGAAAATAACTCTACAATTAGGGAAAGTGTAGATATCAAATCATGATAGCTGCCTGATGAGTGAGTGTGTATATATACTTGATTAGCCATTATGCTGTTGATATTGGTTTTGCATCTTTTGGATGTTGTGTAATTTGTAAGAGATATTATGTGATGTTGGGGAAGCATGTTGTCACTTGTTAAATAGAGCCATGAGCCATCCCATTGTGAGTTATGACCCTCTGCTACATGCTTAGATATACATTGTTCTTGGCAATGTTCAAGTTAATTCAATCATGTTAAACCTACTTCTTTTATGATTCATTTCGTTTAATAATGGTGATATTCAGTCATGTATCTCTCTAATTTAGCCCTTGCTCTTAAAAATATAGATCTTTTATCTGTATTCACAAATTTTGCACTGATGATTCATGGGATCTGTAAGCCTACAAGCTAAATTTGATATCCCTTCCACTACACAATGATCTTTCAGTTTGCATTGTATGAGGTTTATGTTTAGATGTTGATAGGCATATGCACACACATCCAACTCAAAGATGCATACCCGAGGAACTGGATTCTACAAAATTTTAACTCCAGCCGTATAGCAATTGCCACCTAGTAAAGTTGTATGCACATTTCATTCTGATTCGAATGTAATATGTAAATGAAAGAAGGCCGTGCATTGAAAACATTCTTGGAAAGCCAAATCGTTTACTGAATGACAAATATTCATCACTTCATGTGTCGTGCTAGTCCTTTTTCTCAAGGAATTTTTGTACTCTATACTTTAATGCTAGTTATTTTATATCCGTTTTGATCTCCTACTTGTCCTAGTTTCTATTTTTTTCCATCATGTTGTGCCAAAGTATCCACTATGAACACTTGTTATTGTTGTTGCAGGTCTGATGGAAAAGAAGTGATGGTGGATAACAGATATCTCAAAACTAACTATCCACTACTGGTAAAGTTGTCTGCTTCCCACACCCACATCCACATTCTTTAAAACATTGTGAATATTTATTCTCTTCACTTACTATTCCTCCTATTTGTTTATTGACAATCCCCAGTTGATCAACTTCTATGAGCAACATATTCAGTATATTAGTCCCACCTCTGAATGAGTGTCATGGAACTTTGGATCTTCATTTTTCTTGATGATGCAGAGCCTTCAGACTGTCGATTCTCGGTAAATAATGACACGACATGTATTGTATATTGGTAATGTGTTTTTGGATTTACGGTAGGCTATAGAAATATCTACATCTTTCTATTTGAGATTATCTATCCTGGATTGTCGCCTGCATTTTACGATGTCAAGTGTGTTTAATCGTTGAAAGGGGTCTTGATCAACTACATAATCAGTTCAACTATGTTAAAGAAAGGTGCAGCACAAGGAAAATGATACTGGTTTTGCCCTTTTAAACCTCTTCATATTGTGGTTTTACTTTGGCATAATACATATTTTGATGTTGTGTTTCGATTTTAATCCACCATCTCAGTCATTCTAATCATTTTCTTTTGTGTCGGTGACGCAGTAGGAAACGCGGAAGGGTTGACAATCGTCAGAACCCAGAAAATTGATTAAACCTTACAAGCGTAGGGTTTAGGAAAATAACAAGAATTCTCAAAAAAAGGCTAAGCTTTGTTGAATTGAAAATTGAATGAATAACAAATAAGACTAAGGCATGTTTAAATAGGCTAAGAACTATGATAACTAGATAACTATGGTAACTAGATAACTATGGTAGCTAGATAACTATGGTAGCTAGATAATTACTAAACAATAATAAGAAAAAAAAGAAATAAATCTGAAAATAATCAAAGGTTCAGCCGGCATGGGTCAAGGCGTGGCTCGTTGTCGTGGCTTTGCTTGGTCTTGTTGCTCGTCGATCTTTCGGGCTAACTGGTCTACATCAGTCTCCTCCACTTCTGAAGAACTCGACCCCGAGTTCTCATTTAAGATAGGATCATCTTCGTGGTATGGGTATAGATCGGCCACATTGAAGGTGTTGGAGATGTGGAGAGAGTCAGGGAGAGCGACAACATAGGCGTTGTCGTTAATCTTCCTGGTGATCTTGAATGGGCCATACTTCTTTGGCTGGAGCTTTCCGTAAGTGCCAACAGGGAAGCGCTCTTTCCGGAGAAATACCATCACATCATCACCTTCTTGAAAGATCTTCTCTAGTCGTTGTTTGTCGGCTAATCTTTGTTCTTCATTCCAACTGCTTCAAGACGAGCTTTTATGTTCTCTTTGATTGCGTGTGCATTTTTTGCCATATTCTCCACTGCAATGCTTGTTCCTTGGAGTCGTGGAAGTTTGATCAAGTCAACGACGTGTTTGGGAACCGAAGTGTAAACCAAAGAGAACGGCGAGCAACCGGTCGCCGAATGGGTTGCGCTGTTATAAGCGAATTCAATCTATGGGAGAGCAAGGTCCCATTGTTTGGGTTTGTCTCCACAGATGCTTCGGAGCATATTGCCCAAAGTGCGGTTCGTTACCTCGGTCTGGCCGTCGGATTGTGGATGGGCAGTGCTACTTTTGTTAAGTGTTGTTCCGAACATTCTCCATAATGTAATCCAAAAGTAGCTTAATGAACTTTGTGTCGCGGTCGAAAGTGATTGTCTTGGGAACTCCGTGAAGGCGAACAATTTCTTTGAAGAACAACTTGGTGATGTTGCTTGCATCAGCAGTTTTCTTGCAAGCAATGAAGTGTGTCATCTTCGAGAAATGATCCACAACGACAAAGATCGAATCGACTCCTCTTTGAGTGCGGGGTAATCTAAGGACGAAATCCATGGATAAGTCCTGCCATATATCTTTTGGAACTGGTAGAGGCAAATAAAGACCCCCTTGGCGACTTGACAGGTGTAACATTTCCGAACAATGGTACTAACGTCACGCCTCAAACGCGGCCAATGGTATCGCTCCATTACGCTAACGACGGTCTTGTCTCGACCAAGATGCCCACTTAGGCCTCCTCCATGTAAGTCTCTAATCAATTGTTCATGTAGAGAAGAGTTAGGAATACACAATTGATTACCTTTAAAGAGATATATGTCGTTGAGGTAGTAATCGTCCACCGGTATGCCTTTCCCGCATTTGGACCATGTTTCTTTAAAGTCGCCATCTTCCTCGTACTGATCTTTTAAGCTTTCAAAACCGATAATTTCTTGGACGAGCGTGACCATTAGTGTGGCTCTCCGACTTAGTGCATCCGCTATTCGGTTTAGGACTCCCGCTTTGTGTTTGATCACAAAGGAGAATTTCTGCAAATAGCTCACCCATCGTGCGTGCTTCTTACTTACCGTCTTTTGACTGTTGATGAACTTCAAGGCTTGGTGGTCGGTGAATAGCACGAACTCCTTTTGTACGAGATGGTGCTTCCACTGTTTTAGAGCTCGAAAGACAGCATAGAACTCTTGATCGTAAGTGCTCCACTTTTGTCTTGCCTTACTTAACTTCTCGCTGAAAAACGCTATCGGTCACTTTTCTTGCGATAACACCGCTCCGACTCCTACTCCGCTGGCATCGCATTCCACTTCAAATACCTTGTCGAAATCGGGAAGTGCAAGTACCAGCATAGCGCTGAGTTTGGCTTTAATTGCGGTGAAACTGCGATCTTGATCGGGTCCCCATCGAAATTTGCTTTTTTTCAAGCATTCAGTAATAGGGGCGGTGATTGTACTAAAGTCTTTTACAAACCTTCGGTAAAAGGTTGCTAAACCGTGGAAGCTTCGGACATCTGCGACGTTTTGGGGAGTAGGCCATTCTTTGATCGCACATACCTTTTCTTCATCTACTTCGATACCGGCTTCTCCGACAATGAAACCCAAAAACAAAAGTTTGTGGGTGCAAAAAGTGCACTTTCTGAGGTTGACGTAAAGTTTGTTTTCTTGGAGTACGGATTAAACTTTGCAGAGATGCGTTAAGTGGTCTTCCTTGCTACGACTGTAGATGAGGATGTCATCGAAATACACAACGACGAAAGGTCCGATGAAGGGTTTGAGGACTTGGTTCATCGTCCTCATGAAGGTGCTTGGAGCGTTGGAGGTGCCAAATGACATGACGAGCCATTTGTATAGACCAAAAGGCGTTTTGAACGCCATCTTCCATTCATCACCGGGTCCGATACGAATTTAGTGGTAGCCGCTATGGAGATCGATTTTCGAAAACAACTTAGCTCCGGCTAACTCATCAAGCATATCCTCTAGGCGAGGGATCGGGAACCGGTACTTGATGGTAATTTTGTTGATGGCGCGACTATCGATGCACATTCTCCACTGATTGTTCTTCTTCGGTACCAAGAGAACGGGCACGGCACAAGGGTTTAAGATTTCACGGATGAAACCCTTTCGTAGGAGATCTTCGACTTGCTCCCTTAGGATCTCGTTCTCTTTTGGACTCATGCGGTAGTGAGGGAGGTTCGGTAGATTGGCACCGGGAATCAGATCAATCTGGTGTTGGATGTCCCTCATGGGAGGTAGCTCAGGTTGTAAGTCATCGGCAGTGAGCTCTTTGAAGTCCTTGAGTATCCCGCTCACTTCTTCCAGAATTTCCTCTCCGATCTTTTCGACGTTCCCTAAGCCCTTTACAACGATCGGGCAAAAGACTTGGGTTTCTTTGAACGATTTTTCAAGAATCTGCTTGTTCGAGGTGATGATTAGGAAGTTCTCACCTTTCTTTTCCGGGGTGTGGTTGAAGTGAGTAACGGGTGCCATGGCGATCTTGTGTTCGCCCCTTCGGAAGATCATGACGTTGTCTCTCCCCCGATACGGGATATCGTTGTCGTATTGCCATGGTCGACCAAGTAGGATGTGGCAAGCGTCCATCTCGACGACATCACAAGAAATTTCTTCCTTGTAATGTTTACTGATGGAAAGTGGAACCTTACATATCTGGGTGATGCGGACTTGAGGGCTTTCTTTACCCATCCGAGCGAGTATGGTGAATCATCCGGTTGAGTCGGTAGACCGAGATGCTCTACTAACTTTTGGGACACCAAGTTTTCACAACTTCCGTTGTCTACAATCAAGTTACAGACTTTACGATTGATGGAGCAGTAGGTACGAAAAAGATTTTTCCGTTGCCCCTCCTCTTTCGGTGATAGCAGGACTCACTGGAGTACGATGCTCACCTTTTCCTCGAAATCTTCCTCTACGAATTCCACTCCTTCGTACTCGACCTCATTGCCACTTCCCCTTTCTTCTACGAGTCCGGCTGTCCTCCGATTACTGCACTTGTTGGAACGATGGCCGGGTTGTCCACAACGATAGCACTTGAGCCCGGTGGGCTTGGCGTAGGGGTTATTGGGTTTTGGCGTGACCATTTTGTTTTGAGCGGGGGTGGCGTTTTTAGGAGGATCGCGAGGGTTAGCCGTTACACTCTTCCCTTTATCAGGGGTGGAACTAGAGGCGTCGAGAGGAATTTGAGTAGAGTATATTCGGTAAGAAGCAGTTCAGGTAGACTTTTCCATCAGTTATGGTCCATGCGGTTTGGAGGCCAATTTTTTCTTGTAGGGAACCCTTCAGCCCGTTGATGTAACGAGCGACTCATTGCCCTTCTGTTTCTCCGATCTCGTTTCGGTCTGAGAGACGTATAAATTCCATGGTGTACTCGGTCACGAATCTGGGTCCTTGTGAACAATCCAGATACATTCGATAGAGAATCTGCTCGTATCCTCCGATAGGAACCGTTCAGTCATCAACTGTTTCATCCTCCTCCATGAGCGTACGGGACCTTTTCGTTGGCGCTGTCGTTGGGTGGTTAGCTTATCCCACCAAACAGCGGCTGTACTTTTCAGGCGAAAAACGACCATCTTAACTTGTTTGTGCTCTGGTATCTCCATGATATCGAAGAACCTGTTGACCTTCATCTGCCAGTGAAGGAATTCTTCCACGCCTACATTCCCGTGGAAATAAGGAATGTCGGCTTTCATCCGGTAGTCGGGGTCGTTGCGTGGTTGATCGGCTATTTCTTCGGGTTCGGACTCTGAACTGGAACTGGCGGTGGGACGGGGTTGGACGCCACGAGGTGGTCGGTAACGATCGGTGTGCCTGTCTCTTCTTCGTCGGTCGTCGATTAAGGCGCCGATTTGTTCGGTGAAGGTGGTGGTAAGGGTGGCGAGAGCAGTGTTGAAGGCCGTGGTGATACCTTCAAGATCTGCTCGAGTGAGTGGTTGGTTATCTCCCATCGTTAGGTTGAAAAAGAGACAGGGATTATGTGCTCTGATACCAACTGACGCAGTAGGAAACGCGGAAGGGTTGACAATCGTCAGAACCCAGAA